TTTTTAATAAAGGGCCTGCCTTTTTTTGTTTCTGATTTGTAAGACTTCAAAATAGATACAAGTCCTGTCTTTTTTTTTTTTCTTTTTTTTTCCTTCCCTTTTTTTTTTTTAGTCTTTCACACATGCTACACTCACTCGCTGATTTGGTAGCTATTTTCTTCTGTTAGCATTTTCTTGGCTGTGTAATGTGGAACATCCTCCTTGGTATGGGACAGATATGTGGGACTGGGTCTCTGAGTTTTTTTTTTTTGGAAAAGTCGATCGAACTTCAGCATGATATTCCCTCCTCCCCCTCTCTGCAACCATGCTTGTGCCCCTTCACCTCCCCCTCACACACAGCTCCACTTGTCAAATGCCTCTGAATAAAAAAAAGGAAAAAAAAAAACAAGAATAAATTGCCGTGTTCGTCCCTTTTTATTCTCATTTTCAAAAGAGATGGCAAAGATTTCGCTCTTCTTTCTCTACTTGTGTGTGTATCGTTTTAGGGTTTTTACTCCTAAACCTATCGGTAGTCGGTGTCTCTCTGCAGTGCTGTGCAGTAGTCGGTTATTGCAAGAAATCTCCTGCACCGAATGCAGCTCAGACATAGTTGGATTTCCTTGTTGCACACCGGGAAGCTGTTCTTCCCACACGCTGCTGGTTGCTAATGAGCATTTTTAGTCACAAAATTAGGTTAGTAGACTATAATCAAATAGATGAGTCACAACCTGCTGAAAGTTCACTGTTAAGATTTTTTTCCCTGCTCAATATGTAAAGAAGAAAATGGGGGGAAAATTACTTGCAACATGCATATAATGGTTGTGAGGAACTGAACAATTGTAGTTCTTGCAGAAATGTCTTTTGAATACCTGAATTCTTAAGAGTTGTGAATGTGCTGTATTGACAATAGCCATGTCCAGAAATCCATACTGCATACTGATTTATATACAACATTGTACCCTTTTATACTAAGATGTGGAAGGAAAGAGTCGACATAATTGTTTTACAATAGCGGGTAATTATGCAAAGTAAATTTTCAATCTGAAATCACATGAATAGTGCAAAATGTTTTTGGATCGTTTTCAAAAAAATCTTCGCTTTGGTAAGATCCTCTGGCTTGTGTGCAGTACATTGTGGGAAAATACTGGATAATAGCAACATGTTCTTTAAAAAAATCTGGGGTTTTAGAGTCAGTTTTCAAGTGCGAACACGCTAAACATTGTAAACCTGCTTTGCATTAGTATGTCCGGTTGATCTGGGACACAGATGATGTTCTGTGATGCTTTTGTGCTGTGATCACAGTAATACACAGGACGGTGCCCAATATCCATCCATCCATCATTTAATCTATACACCGCTTAATCCTCACTAGGGTCGCGGGGGAGCTGGAGTCTATCCCAGCTGACTTAGGGTGAAGACAGGGGACACCCTGGACAGGTCACCAGTCTATCACAGGGCTACACTTAGAGACAGACAACCAAGCACACTCACATTCACACCTACGGACAATTTAGAATCACCAATTAACCTCAACATGTTTTTGGACCTTGTGGGAGGAAGCCGGAGAACCTGGAGAGAACCCATGCTGTACGGGGAGAACATGCAAACTCCATGCAGAAAGACGCGAACCAGCGACCTCCTTGCTGCGAGGCAACAGTGCTAACCACTGCTCCACCTTGCAGCCTGTGCCCAATATCATCCTCTTAAATTTATTCAGCAGTGGTGGATATAACACTCTTATTCTAATATCCTCAGCCTTGAATTAAAATGTTTGAGCAAATTTGCCAATTTCAGAGGATCTGCAGTTAATTTGTGGTTGTACTGAATCAAGGCCAGGGTGAAAAAAAAAAAAAAAAATCACATAAAAACAAAGAGACAAATTACAACTTGTTGAAAACGGGAGCGGTTAGTTCACAACCTTTATTAGAGACGTCATGTCACATTTCCTTTAATTGAGTTTTGAGGCTTGCGGTTCAAAAATGTCTGTTTAATTTCATTCAGCTGAAGAGGAACACACACGTGTCACTACTATTTGACATTTATCTTGGATTTGACACTTAACTGTAAATGACTCTTTGCACTATGGCATATGGAACAGTGTTGTAAAGCAATCTTTGGCATACAGGTTATAGAAAAAAGCATTTCTTTTAAATCAAAAAACCCCAAAGCGATTCATCTCCTAGCAACTATTTCATCCCATGATGAGATCAAAACCAGGGTCTCAGTCAGACATTTAACAGCCTCTTTAGTAAATCATCTCACTAATCCTATACTGCTGGAGCCGACACCCTTACACAACTAAACTAAGACACAAGATGTAAGTATCATTTATTAATGTATATATTCTGGCTATTTGGAATTTTTAATGATTACATTTTTGCTTAGATTTGCATATGGCAATCATGATTTCTTTTTTTAAAATGTAAAAACAGGCTTTGGTATTTTTTTAAAGGTAGAAAATAGAAGCACGTCAATGCCTCTCCATCAAGCCTACACGGTGTGTCTCTCGGTCAGCAGGTGACGGCTCTCCTCGTTGGTGGGGAAGAGAGCGTCCTTCAGGCGAACCATGTGACCTCCGACCCCAGAACCAGCGCCAGCGTCCTCCACCAGCGACCTGCGGATGGGCCGGTACACCTTGTGACGCCTGGGAAAGGGGAGTAAAGAGGATATGAAGCTGAAAGAACGGGAATATTTGGCTGGGAATGTGTCAAAAAGTGCTTTATGGGAAGGCTAAAAAGGTTTTGTTGTAATAAAACTCTATCAGCAGTTTTGTGTGTATGTGTTTCTCAACTTAAAAGACGTCCCAGTTGAACATTCTGTCTGTAGCTTGTGTGTAAGTCTTCGTACGTTTATAGGACGTCCTGTTGTGCACGTGAGAACTACTCACTTGTAGACCATGTAGGCAATGAATGCAAAGACGGCCACCAGCACAGCGCTCGTGGAGAGAACCACCCCTGGAGTGTGATTAGTCTTGGGCACTAACGGGCACAAAGGACAGCGGTGAGAGGAACAAATGGAACCAGATATGAAAAACACATCAATCTATTTGCTTCCTACGAGGCTGATGCTTCAACAGAATCAGTTTATGATGAGAGAAAATTTCAACAACATGCACGGGATCTAGATATTTAGTATGCGTTTGTGTAACTGACCCGGTGGATCCTGGGACTTGTTGATGGTGACGGTGGTGCTGGCGAGGGCCACGCTGCGGGAGTCCTCCAGAGTGATGTTCACGCAGTAGGTTCCAGGTTCCAGAAACTTCCGCCTCAGGACGACTTCGCACTTGGACGACGGCGGCACATCGTCGCACATGATGTTGCGCACCTCCATGCAGCTGGGGTCTGACACGATGGTGCAGGCTGAGGTGGGGATGCTGAGGATGAAACGAAAATAGTCAAACTTTTGCTTTATCCACATTTTTTCCCTGTTTTTTAATGCATTAGAGCAACAAGTGACTATATTGTATTTGTAGGGAATAAAAAGCTTCTCTTTAAAAAAAAAAAAAAGGACAGTTTTATGAAAAAGCTAACAAGTGATGCAAGTCGTTTGGTTCTCAAGCCAAAAAGCAAATGACAAGGACAATGATACTATTACAGCGAATAAAGACTGTCTAATTAATTTGAACACAACGTTGAAATTATGTTCTATTTAACTGAAAGGCATCAGTCTGACAGTGAGCTAGATATGTAGCTTAATGCATTCAAAACACATTTTAAACATTGTTATTGTGATTAAAGGTGTCTTTGGGGGGGAAAAACCCACGAATATTTAACATTCATATAAGATAAATAATAAAACTATCAAATGCACACCTGCCCAGACATTTCACCCGGAAGTTGATGTCAGTGTTGGTCACCCTGGCAGCCGACACGTCCACAATGCGACTGTTCGGTTGGCTTTTCAGTGGATGCTTTGGCTCTGTAGAGAACAAATGAATCATTTACTCCTCATAACACTAAAAAGACACAGGCTGACCGACCGCCAATTTATAAGACGTATAGGTTGGTTTGCACACAAATACAGGTTTATGATGAAAAATGGTTTGTAACAATAAGAATGACCTATTTTCCAATTGCGCTGTATCAAAACACAGTTTTCATTTTCAGGGGTGGCTGTTTCCACACAAGTGGGGAAATGTGTTGGACTGGACCAATGAAAATGGAAAAAACCTGCTTTAAAATGACATAATAATATTTTTTAAATAATGGTCGCAATTCAAATGATAAATGTAATGTTAATCAAATTTAGAGATTTTTGCACAATTTGCACTTTTGAATTACATCCACCTGATTCATTACATATAAACTCGTTTACACGTCTTGCAAAATTTGCAGTCATTAGAATTTATGAGTTGGTTAGTAACAAATTACATGTAATCGAGATCACGTGATCAGACTGCAAAAAAACGAGTGACTACAATCAGCCCACCTTGCATTTGAAAAAATGGGCAATTAAAATATAGTTACATTGTCATTGATTCCTTGAATACATTTTGATTTCTTTTTTAAAATATGGCAATTTCAAAATGATGAAATATGTTTACATCATAACACTTCTGTAGTTTGTGTCAATGCTGTTTTCACAAAGGTAATTTGATTTGATCAACTGTGAAGATGCAAACTGCACTTTATCTGTACTGAAAATGTTACCAGGGAAAAAAGATCATTTGTGGCACTACATTTTTTTTGTGTCTAAAGCAATATTTTCAATGTTTTCCATGTTTGCTTTTAAAGCAACCCAAAAGTATTCAAGAATAGATGTTTGTTTTTTTCATAATCAATTAGATTATGTTAAAAATGACAACAAATAGGGCTGCAAGGGAGCTCGGTCGCCTCGCAGCAAGAAGGTCCCGGGCTGCGTCTCAATGAGGACACCCAGGATCTTTCTGCGTGGAGTTTGCATGTTCTCCCCGTGCAGCGTGGGTTCTCTCCGGGTTCTCTGGCTTCCTCCCATACAGTCCAAAAACATGTTGAGGTTAATTGGTGATTCTAAATTGTTCGTAGGTGTGAATGTGAGTGTGTTTGCTTGTCTGTCTGAAACCCTGTGATAGACTGGTGACCTGTCCAGGGTGTCCCCTGCCTTCACCCTGAGTCAGCTGGGATAGGCTCCAGCCCCCCACGACCCTAATGAGGATTAAGAGGTGTATAGATAATGGATGGATGGATGACAAAAAATACCTGTGATTTACTTATTTGAAAACTGCCAGCTCTAGCACACTCCAGTGGTGCACCAAAGATGACATACTGCAGCCAGCAAAGCATCACACTTTAAATATGCTGATTACCATTTCATTTCATTTATGACTTGATGGCTCCAAAGAATAGATTGATTCCATAATTTTATCAAAGTATGCCTATTTAAAGAACGATGCAGCCTCCCACCTACCGATAATGGTGATGTTGCCTGTGAAGGTCCCATAGGCGTACCAGAAACACTCGTTGTTGTTGAGACGCCTTCTTCGGAGCAACGTGGCCTCACTGGGGGTCGCCACAGTGGGAGGGAGAGGCTCTGTGGTCGGCAACCCTGTCGTCATGGAAATGGAGGTGGAGGTGGGACTGGTGCTGGGTGGTCCTTAAAACAGGGGAGCAAAGAGGCGAGAAATGAACTCAACGGATGGACGTGCGTTAAATAACTAAAGCAGGCAGGCATCTTAAAATCCTCATTAAAAGTTATTCTGCTTCTGTTCGGATATGGTCAGTTAACTGTGGAGCCTCACCCTGCGTGGTCTCCATCCTAGTGCCGGCGTGAGTAGCAGGTGGAGACGTGGGAGCTTCTGGAGGAAAAGGCACAGGAATACAGATATGACCATCACAGACATCTGACAGCGATCTATCATGCGAGGAAAGTCACTTGTTTTTTCGTTCTGTCCATCAGCAGCGATTGGGTGTCCTATTTGAGGTCAGCAGGGTGATCCTCAGACTCATTTGGCATGTTTAAATACAGCTTTATTGTGCAGGTGATGGTGCAGTGACAGCGTGAAATAGTGACACACAAGCAGGAGCACTGAGATTTACATTGGCTTAAACCTATTAGTACAGTTTTCTAATTCAAGAACTAAATAAAGAACATGCACTTTGCTTTTTGTATGGATTGAACAAACAAGACATAATTGGTATATTTTTTGGGTGCTGATAGACAAGAGCTAGACTGTGTTGCCTTCAGAAAGAGCTAAACAAACAGTTTGCATCCGCTTTCAGTGTTTAAACCAAGATAAGATAACCGTCTCTCGTTTGTAGCTTGATATTTAGCACACAGGTGTCATTTCCTCAAATTTAAAGCTGCTATTGGAAGTTTTTTTAAAGTTTCGTCTTTGGCGCCCCCCGCTGGTGATATCAGAAAGCCACTAAACTGTACTTGCTGCCAGGGAAACCTATGCCATTACAATAATCCTCTCAAAACTCTGTGCTCAATATTTCTGATGCATTTTTGTCGGTGTCTCTGCTCAGCACCTGTTTGACTCGGTGTTGTGGAAGTTCTCGGAGTCGGGGTGGCGGCAGTGCTGGGGCATTCGACAGGAAACGCCGCCTCCACCACCAGCTTTACACCCATCAGCCCCAGCTTGACGTAGCTGTGCGTGGTCACGTTGCGGTGTGTCACCACCTGATTGCCGTCTCTGAAGTCCCAGATGTAGTCAATGGAGGATGCGGTGTTGAGGAAGCCGCTGGGGTCGTGGAGCTGAACCCTGAAGACCACATCCTGGCCGCCGAAGAAAACGTTCGCAGACTGGTTGATCGCAGCCTTCTGGGAGATGCTGACTGATAACGGGATCTTATCTGCGGGAGCGTGCGAGGGAAGCGATCAATAATTGATTCCCTCGGTTTGTGTGGACAGGTGAAGCTGTGTAAGATGAGTATTTCAGTCACCTGTGACATAGAAGACGGTGTTGTCCGTGGTGAGCGGGCTGTACTTCCTGCGCTCACGCTTCCTGTAGACCATGACCTCCATGACCTCGGCGCCCACGGGGATGCTGCTGGTGTTGATGGTGATGCTGGAGGAAGATCCGTCACATGTCTCCAAGTACTGACCTGGTACAGATGAAGGAAACAAAGGGACGGAGTTTCAGATTCATGTTATCTTTGCATCTGCAGTGTAAAAAAGGTAAATCTGAATGCTTCCGTCTCACCCATTGTGTGCCAAACGTAGACGTAGCTCTTGCGCCTCCAGTCGTTGCTCTGAGGGAAGGGCTTCCCATCAGGGAACACGTTGCATTTCATCGAGTCTGTACACTTTCCGAAGCCATAGTCATCCAACCAGGAGGTCCAGTTGTACACGTAGCCAGAGCGAACCTGTCCGTTGGCTGTTCAAAAGAAAAGAAAGTGAAAACAACTGCTGCGTTATTTAAAAACAACAAAATGAAAGCTGCACTCGTGATTTTTATATATACTTTTTTTTTTTAATCTGTTGAATTACTTGTGATATAAACGCGGTGGCTTCTAGTTTCAAATCCTATGATAACTGTATCCGAGCTTTATATGGACTGTTTTTGCCTCTTTAAGCTAGTCCTTTTGTATTTGTGGCACTAAACGTTACAGTTTAGTTTTTGGCATTAGCAAATTAAAAGACTAATATTTCCCTTAAGAGTTGGTTGAGTGGAAAGTATTCATTAGTCACCAGATGAACTAAACTGTAGGTCCAAATGAAGGCCAATATTGTTCTTTATGTGCATGATTTGTTAAAAGATAAATGTTTGCTAGCATGTTCTTAAGGTAAGTGTTGTGTTTAGCGGTTGTTGCACTGCCCCCTAGTGGACAAAAGCTCTACTCACACTACTTTAATTGTGTTAGTGTGTCCGTTTTATTGCTAAAACTCCAGTGTCAGTGTTTTGTTTTTGATTTATGGCTCACTTCAATGATCTTATTATGTTGCAGTGGTGTTTTGTGGAGGTGTATGTGCAGGTTTGTGACCAGGCCTGGCTTTCTTGGCAGCACCTGAGGCCTCCAGCTCCATACCATCCTCGCAGTGCTCATCCCAGACAAGGTTCCCGTTGGCGTCCTCCTTCTGGCACGGAGGATACTCCAGCTTGGCGGTGAAGGTGACGCAGGAGCCGTTGAGGGCCGGGCTGTCGCTGGTCAGACGGACTTTGGGTTTACCTGCAGGGAGGCGAACGTTCCAGGTGAACGGCCTGAAGTGTATCAGCAAGTGTCTCGGAAGTAATAAAAACAACCGTACTCACCTCGGTGGTGCATGAGCTCATTTGGCTTTGGGTTCAGTGGGGGGTAGAGGTAATCGTCCCACGGGTTGGTGTCAGGATCCCAGCCAGGGATAGGTGGGATTGGAAATGGAAACTTTCCTGATAATGAGTGCTTGTGGGGGAATATATCAGCATATGCTATAGAGAGAGAGACAAGGGTTGAAGAGACTTCAAATATCCTCTCCAGACTGTCAATAAAAACATAGTTAACTGAACACAATGAATGCCTTTGCAGTATATTTGAACAGTTTTTAGTGTCATCATGACTGCAAGCAGGTTTTAAGGTGGTGAAAATAAATCACATTCATCTCCTGACATTTTTTTTTTAAATAATTGTGAAAATCTTCTTTGAATTCCAGCTGAAAACAAACCATCTGAGTCTGGTGTTCCTGACTGGATTCATCTCAGACTGATTCCTTTTTAGAATTCAAAGTCAAGGTCATTAAATAATGTTCAAACCCGCCCTCGACTGAAATACAGATTGAGGATTATAACAAACAAGACATTCAACTCTAGACATTGAAAGTCTTCAATTGTAAAAGGAAGAAAAAAACATGGAAAATATGAAGTAATAAAAACTGTTATTTTGATAGCTGGGCTTTTACATTTTTCTTATTATTATAATTGTTTTGAAGTGATTTATCAGACCTTGCAAAAAATAAAAATCAACTAATGTGTAAATGTCCTTGTTCTCTTTACCTCCACATCCTTCAGTTTGTTTCTGTCTTAATTTAGCCCGAGTGACACATATTTAAAATATGGATGGCAGACAGAAAAACAACAAATTCCATCGATGTAATTTGATTAAATGAAAAAAAAAAAAAAAAAAGAATCCAGATATTTCTCTGGGACATCTTTGTGCAAACAGAAAACAAGTCAGTTCAGGGCAAGAAGGGCATTTTAAACTAAATGTGTAGCTGTAAGAAATTAATTAGACTTTTTAAAAAAAATTTCCCCAAATGATAATAAGTAAGATGGGTTTTTGCATCATGTTTTCTCCCTTGTGAGCCCATCTGGATATTATAGTAAAGATACTGAGGATTTATTTATTTTATAGATGAAGGGAGTTTTGTGTGGAGTTGATGGCAGCCTGACCACAGCCTTAATTAGACTCATGGGACTCTGAGTGCAGAGAGCAGATGACAGGACAGGTAGACTGTTACACAAACTGTCCCAGAAATATCTAAAAGTCGCTTTTATTCCTAATATCTACCACATAATACGCCATAATACATTTGACTAAGAATAAATACGATTAAAACAACTCTGTGATACCAGTGTGGACATTTAGATTCCAGAAAAAAACAGTTAATAAATGCATGATAATCTTTAAATCCACACCAAACTGTTCATTCCTTTAAATTCTATCAGATCAACTTAACATCACTTACTTGTGCGTCCATCCGCTTGATAAACAAAAGAGGCACAAGCCAGGAGAAACAAGTATTTCAAAGCTTCCATTTCTACTATTCAGAGGAGAAAACAGCCACTGTCTCTTCAAAAACCGCCAAGGATCAGCTTATATCTGCTTGTCCACTCTCTCCTCCTCGTCCAGCTCTCCTCCAACTTCCCCCTGTTTGTCCTGATGCTCGCTAATTTAATGTGACTCCGCTGAGCGCACAAACATGTGATGTTTCCTAACGAGACGCAACTCATCACCCATTAGTCTGCTGGATGCAGGGAGCGCACGGAAGATCACGTGTGCGCATGCTCACACACACTCCTATTTGATACAAAAAAAGTTAAGGTTAATATTTCGAAATAATCTTTTTTCATCCAATAATTTAAAGTTATTAGGCTGCTGGTCGCCTTTAGAATATACCACATGATTACCTCCCGTTTTTACAGGTTCATGTTTTTACTGATTACTATCATTTTTGATTATAATTACGTTATAAACATATTTCTAGAATTAATTTTATAGGATGTTACTTGATGCTAGAGTAAAATATCCACGAAAAATGCCTTTTCTACATTTGTTTTTGCGCTTTTGTTGTTCTCACGTGTTTTAATATCTTCATAAACTATCAATAAATATGTATTTTTTTGTTTAATATAAAAACAAATATAGTTTTATTCCTTTTTTGTCATAATTTAGAATACTTTTTGGCCATTTTAAGTCGTTAAATCAGAGGGGCAGACAGGGGTTGAACTCGTGCCTTTACATTAGATGATAATACACGCATTATAGAATTATAGAACTGTACTATACTTTTTGTTTGTTTTCGTTCAATTCCAGCACGGCGACCTGAACAAAGTCCACCGAACTGGACTGAATTATTAGATTTTTAAAATCTTTTTTGTTTCCCTCTCATGCTGCTGTGTCACGGTGAGATGCCTCTCTCCGTGCGTAAAGTTGCGCCACAGCTGCAACCGCAAAAGCAGAAGCAAAAGCGTATGATGTCCAAGCGGTGGTGCCCGGCTCGTTTTCAACACCATCCGGCATGTGATTAAAGTCATTATTTCAGCGGGTCTTCTGCTGTCACAAGAACGTTTGGAAACAGTACCAAAGGGCTGCCAAACTGCACGATTCTGTACAAAAGTCAAAAGATCAACTCGTATAAAATAATGATAAATACAAGCAACGTATATCTTTAAGTTGCTGAAGCTTAAGTTGCACTGAATGGAAACAATATTATAGCTGCTGAGGAGGTGAGAGAATGAAATAATGTAGCTATTATAATCTAACTAGTGATAAATCTACAGAGAAACAAAGGAAAAAAAAACTAAAGCAGCGACACACATTGTAGAATAAATTCTGTGGATTTACAACTCAGTCATGTTAACAAACAGTGCTGATAATATCTGTACTCCTTTAGGCTTTTTTTTATAAACCCAGAAAAAGCTGCAAGATTGTTCTAATTTCATGATAGTAAACATGATTAAGTTTTCTTTTTCTTTTCTGTGCTTTGATTACAGGTAATAATCACAAACTGATCGATCCAGCTGAGACATCACATCCAAACTGTCTTTAAAAAACACTGTGAAATCTGCTTTGCATTCACTAAACAGAGATCTGAAGCTATTATAGATTTCCCTTCACCAGTATAATTTCACTATAAACGATTGGAAAACATGGATGGATCCATCTTTATGACAACAAACCAGACTACATCCACTGATGAAAGCCACGAGCTGCAACCAAAGGAACAAAATCGAGAGATCTCCTTATAGATTGATTTTTAAAAATGTATTTATTTTTATTTTTCTAGCTGAATATGATCATTATGGTAGACGTGTGTGAGCGCCAGTACCGGTCCTCTCCAGTAGGGGGCAGCACCTCTCCGCAGCTTCTCACACAGCCTGCTGTCAAACCAGAGGCTATGGAACTGGAACAGAAAAAACAAAAAACCCAACCTGTTGAGGCCCACTGAACGTTGTCAGTCAAATCACAGCTTGATTTAATTTATCACACTGCAACACTGAACAATTCACTTAAGCCTTGTTAAACACAACCACAAAATAAAAGTGTGTGAACTCACCACAGACTTCTTTAAAAGAGCTTTAGAACATGTGGGGCTGCAGCTGGGAAGTCATGTGCTCAGTGTTGTCTGGTTCATGTAGAAAATAATCAGTTTATTTGTGTTGAAATTTAAAAAGAAAAAAAAAAGTCCATCCCAGTGATTTATTTTATTGAGTCCAAATCTAATTCAATCCAGTTAATTGGCTTTTTTAAAATGACCACAAAAACGGGAGAAAATATTCTCCACGGTGGCTGAATCCAGTAAATTGTTGGCATTTTTACTTTTAAAAAAAACAACAACTTTACACCCTTAAATGTCCCAGAGATTGATGGATAATTGCTTTAAAGCCAACTCAAAAAATATCTCTTTTACTTTCTCTCTCTGTGTCCTCAGACTCCAGACATCACTGGATGTAAAACAGAGAAATACAAGACAGTACAGCCAACAGGCACTTCTATTCTCTCTGTTTCTCTCCCCACTGTGCGTGTGTGTGTGTGTGTGTGTGTGCGGAGAACTTGTCGTGCCTTCTCCTTTACAGCTCTGGCTTCCAGTCGGATGGTGGAATGCAGAAACATTCCCGAGAATGTGCGCTAAGACTCTGGATCTTCACTGTGTGTGTGTGAGTGAGTGAGTGTGAGAGAGAGTGTGTGTTTGTGTCTGAAAATGTGCTGGCAGTGGAAACTTCAATTCAGTGTGTGCTTTGGCCGCTGCATGGAACATATGGGAGTGTTCACTGCCTGTGCAGCGCTGGAAATACATGAAGAACCTTCTTTCTTTTCCAATCTCAGAGCGCATAAACACATTCCCACAAGAACACTGGAGTCAGGAGCCGGTCACTTCTTCTTCTTCTTCTCCCCCCCTCCTTCTCTGATCTTTCTCTCTTTCATTTCCAGCCTCTTTTGCAACACCCTCATCCTGCTCCCTCTCTCCAGGTGTTCCTCTTTCCTCCTCTTCATACTGTAATCATGATCATCAGGGGCCATTGTGCCCTGTCATCCTGAGCAGGAGACGGGGGGAGGTGGGTGGGCTACAATTGCTAATCCCACCCACTCATTCAAAAATACAACAGCAGCCAGACAGCCACCAGCAGAAGCAGCAGCAGCAGCAGCCACAAGGACAGTTTGACTGCAGCCAAACTGGCTTCCAGACTCCACATGGCTCCTGTGCCAGCTTGTATGCAGCGACCTCTCCGAGCTCCAGTCAGCCACAATGCAAAACAGAGCTGCTCTGACGCAGAAGGTCTTTATTTCTTATGATGTGGTGAAGAAACAGTCTGACCTTCTGCTGGCTGTCACGAAAAAAAAAAAAAGAAAACATCCCTCTGAGGTCACTTGGAAAATGTATGAAGGAAATTATTAGGCCACATCTCACCATTTTCCATTAAACTCTTACATGACATTTACTCTTGTTTTTAGCTCATTTGAGTGGAAAACTTCACTTGCAGTGTGATAAAAATACATACATTCATTCTTACAAGAACGTGCGAATGTCAATTTGTCCAAAACAAAACAGTTTGGAAAAACAAGCATCGTCTGCTGCCAAGGTCTCCTCGGAGGAACCCGGGGAGGATGGAAGCAGCGACCGCCCCGCTCCCCGGCTCTGACAGACGGTCATGAGACCACGAGGCGCGCCGCCAGCTGGCCGGAGAGCGCATCTTTGATGTGTGACGCATCGGTGGGGGGAGACGCCTTCACCGAGCAGACCTTCACACACCAACTGGAGGAAATATAAAAGTTTTCTTTCCACTGCAATGTGAGCTTATAGTTAGAAGGAACACACAGCTGTTTCTGGAAAGTCATGACATTTCTACATGAGGAGCACTTGTAATCTGGGATTTTTAGGAATCTATGCATGTCTTTCTAGGAATCATGACTCCAAAGACTTTAAAAAAAAAAAGTGTGGCACAGAAATCTAAATCTCTAAATAGACATTGACGCAGCATTTAACAATTTAAACTCTTGCGCCACTGTGAATTTTCTGCATCAATATTTGTTTAAAATTGTGTTTTAACACCTGTAAGATGGAGAAACAGGTGGATGTAGGCTGCTAGATGCATTTTTCAGCCGGTTTACGCAAATCCAAAGTTGCGCAGGCTTTAGGACCGCGGGATGAGTCGAACAAGAGGCAAAGTCTGCGCACCTCCACCATTTAGAAGTTCTTGTGTTGAACCTGCGCTGTCTGTCACTCGTGTCCCAGGTCTGCTGCTCCATGGATGCAGCTCTCATCTCCACCAGACTGATGTTTCTGTGCAGTATGCTTGCTTTTCTGTTTACTGGATAATGCTTGTTGGTTTTCATCGCTTTGGTGAAATGCAATCGACTTTAAAGTTGGGGCAAAACTCAAAAATGTGCAATTCAAGACAGCTGAGCTGATTTTCGGTTCCCCCTCTTCTCCTCTGCGCTCTGCAGCATGAGGCTGTGGGGCAGAGCGACAGCTGTCCGGAGGAGGATGCTCTGCCTCTGGCTGCTGCTCCTCGGGTTCGCCCTGGTTACTCTTGCGCTCTCGGATCTTTTCAACCGGGATCGCCGCGACCACATTCGTGACAAGCCTGGCCCTCCCCGCCGACCCCTCCAGCGGATCCCCAGTCCGCCGGACCTGGAGCTCATCGTGGAGTCCCGCGACCCCGCTTTAGAGCTCGGCGTCGACGTGGCTCCGCTCAAATCTCTGCAAGAAGACGAGCTGTTATTCGTGCCATCCATGCAGGGCACCAAGAGCGCGCCGCAGAAGAAGGGAAGCTACAAGGTGCTCATGCCCGGAACCAACAAGGGGACAAGTGTCCCGGGGACCCAGAGGCACGGTGAAATGGGTAAAGCAGTGCGGCTACACCTGGGCGGGTTGGAGAGGGATATGGAGCTGGCTGCGGTGCAAAAGTACGGCTTCAACGAGGTGGTCAGCGAGAGGATTTCACTGCATCGCAGGCTGCCAGAGACGCGTCATCCTGAGTGAGTGCACAGCGGCCACAGGGCAGGAATCAAATACCAACTAAAAGTTTACTCACTTTGTTTTAAAGAGCATTTAACACGATTGTAGTTGTGCTGATCATGTGTATCTGTTTATCACTAAACAGGTGTTTTGGGGAGCAATACAGCGAGTCTCTGCCTTCTGCCAGTGTTGTTATCTGTTTTCATGACGAAGCCTGGTCCACACTGCTGCGCACCGTGCACAGCGTGCTCGATACAGCACCCAAACAGTATCTGCAGGAGGTTCTGCTGGTGGACGACCTGAGCCAGCACGGTGAGTCCGTCCATCCATCCATCCATCCATCCATCCATCCATCCATCCATCATGTGCTTTGAATTGTCCCTATGGGATAAATAAAGTTATTTGAATTGAATTGAACTAACCTCTCGCCCCTCTTCAACCCTCTCAGGTCACCTGAAGACTGTGCTGAGTGAATATGTGTCTCATCTGGATGGGGTGCGTTTGATTCGCAGCACCAGGCGCCTGGGTGCCGGTGGGTGCCGCTCACTCGGCGCTGCAAGGGCAGTAGGGGAGGTGCTGGTGTTCATGGACTCCCACTGTGAATGCCAGAAGGGCTGGCTGGAGCCACTGCTGGAGAGAGTTGCGCAGGACAGGTATTGTTTACTCTGATTAAGAATCACTTCTTACATTCTTTGATAATCGCCTGTTCCCCCCAAATTCCCCTTTAATTACACTAATTATAAGTTTGTCTGCTGGTTAAATGCCAAAAATACAAAAAGGTAGATGGCCTCAGTTTTGTAATGAAGGATAATTAAGACCAAGGAAATTATTTGGCCTTGGAAAAGCCAACCCAGCAGCAGCGGCCGAACTCTCTGTGTCTGCTCCTCTATTGTGTTCAGCTATTTGACAGAACCACTTGTGGGAAGTGAGAAGATGGAGGGCTCAGAGTTACCAGTTGTCCTTACTCATTAGCACAGCGCAGGGATACATGTGCTGTGTGTATCCAAGACTCAGCTCTCATGATTTGGCTCCAGCCTTCTGTCTCAGGCTGCCTGCAGCGTGGCTCTAATTAGACTAGGTAATTAGGCCAGGAATCTGCAACCACTCAGCTCTCTCAGCCACATGTTTGACCCTTCTCCCATTTCTTGCTCTCTCTATCCCCCCTTTTAATCTTTTCATTCCATTTCCTCTGAGCATCACATCACACATGGCCACTTGGTAGAACTATTTCAAACAGCATATGTGAAGCAGGACGGTCCCCAACAAAGGACACAACCGGGACACACTCATAAATAGACATTTGCTACTGAAAACACACACATGCACAGATAAGAAGAAGTGTTCCTTAGTGCTCTGCGGTCATTTTATCTACATACGAATAAGTAAAAATGTAACCAAGGAAGGCTGTTTGATTGTCAGCAACATACTTTACATTTAGCTTCAGTTGGACTCACTACACTTGATAAATGTCAATAAATAAAAAGACTAATTTGAATATAAAAAAGGACTGTAGAGATAAATCTGTTGTCTCTGCAGGACTACAGTGGTGTCACCCATCGTGGATGTAATAGACTGGCAGACCTTTCGGTACAATGCCACCCAGTGGCCAGTTAGAGGAGTGTTCGACTGGAGGCTTGACTTCTATTGGGAGTCGAACCCTCAGCTGGAAGATAAGGACCCAGAGATGGCTGTTCGACCTGCGAGGTGGGTCTGCTGATGCTCCAGTTGTGCCACACGGGTCACTTAAAGCAGTTTTAAATTAACCTTGATGGAGAAGAACGCTGATCAGATATGATTTTGCCCCTTTAAGTATATAAATGTGGCGCTCACCTTTGACCTTGGAGAAGCACACAGAAGTTTGTAACTATGGTTCTCCAACATGTGTTTGTTCTGTCCTCTAACTGTGACAGGAGTCCTGCTTTAGGAGGTGAAGTTGTGGCCATCGACAGACACTTCTTCCAAAGCGTGGGAGCCTACGACCCCGGGATGCTGCTGTGGGGGGCGGAACATATTGAGCTGTCAATTAGGGTAAAGGAAAACTCATTTCATGTCAGCTTTGCCGCTAAATCCTTCTGTTTGCAAACTCACACCAGACTGAGAGACGACAGCCTGCGTTTGCTTTTTCATCTTAAGTCACGTAAAGCATTTTAGCCGTGCGTCGCCTGAGTGATTCGGTTGCCTTCTGCTCGGGCCTCGGGAGTGTTGTGCTGCGAGATGATGCCTTTTGCAAATGGAAATCTCTGGATGAATAGCGGTCTGGGAATGTCTTGGCCTGTAGATGAACGCACAAGTCAAATGTTACGATTCCAACCAGTGGCCGGTGTCGACCTTAAACACATGTAAAATTCTGATTCTTGTAGAAATGGTACGACCTGCACTTGTCTGTTTAATCCTTTTTTTTCTCCCAACTACTGTCACCAAAATACCTGTCCACTCCCATAGGTGTGGTCATGTGGGGGCTCCATGGAGGTGGTTCCTTGCTCCCGTGTGGCCCACCTCAACCGCCACCACCTGCCGTATCACTTCCCAGACGAGGACCTGCTTCAGAGGAACAAGATCCGCATCGCTGCCATCTGGATGGACGCATACAAGAAGATCTTCTATAGGAGGGACACGCTTGCTCATTTTATCAGGCAGGTGTGTGTGATGTAACACGTATGTGTCAGGGGAGCGGCCGGCGAGTGCACCGCGCTCTGAAACTCTTTCTTTGTGCAGTCTGAGAGCCCAAACATCACGGAGCGTCTGCGGCTGAAGAGGAGTCTGGGTTGTAGGAACTTCCACTGGTTCCTGACTACGGTTTACCCACAACTCTACGTCCCTCAGGACAGACCTGCTCTGTCAGGAGAGGTAGCACAAACACACAACACACACTCCTCTGTGATGGACACTGCAGACTGTGATGTTATATTCTGCCTGTCTGAAGCTGTACAGCGTTGGCACCGGCGGTTGTGCAGACTACCCCCGCGGGCAGGGACTGCAGGGCGGAGCCATGAGTACGGCACCTTGCAGCGGGACGGGCAGCCAGGTAACCGTGGCAACAGGTTATGATTCAGCGACCACAGTAGAAAAGCGACACAGTGGCAAAGATGGTCTGTTTTCCCCCCCTGTTGTAGCACTGTGATCTAAACTCCGAGGGTGAAGTGCGATGGGGTCCCATGGGGGATTTGTGTTTGGACACCAAGGGAGACAGGGCGGTCCTCTCTCGGTGCCCCGCCCACCGACCCACCGCCAGCAGACTCCAGTGGAAGTTCATAAAGGCAAGGCAGACAAGCTCTTTTGTTGTGCATAAATCTGCACGCGTTTTTATGGCCGCTTGGCTAACTCACCACGTCTGTTTTTCAGCTGAGCGGCCAGCTCGTGCACCTAGAGTCCCAGTTATGTCTGGAGGCCGTGAAGGAAGGAGGGCTCCAGCAAAGTAGCCCGAGAGAAGTCAACATCAGCGCAGGAGGTCTCTTCCTGCGCCAGTGCACACATCACCCCAGACAACAGTGGCACTTTGAGCAAGTGGTGGCTCCTAAAGGTGCCTGATACATGAAGCACAGAGTGCATTTTCAAGATGTGAATCACAGGCATATCTCACAAGCTTATTCTATACGTACTATTAACAGTGGCATAAAACGTGCCATGCAGTGGTGTAGAAAAGTATCCTCATTATAATTTGTCTCTAGACTCTGCCACTCAGCTTGTTTTGTTCCTGTTTTAAGGATTGCAAATATCATTAACTCCTAATTGTAGTTAAATAATAATAAAACAAATCATCTATTAGGAATATCAATTTTAACATCTGTTACTGTATTATATTTATGTGTACTTCATCATATAATATATAAAGACACTGTAGATTAAATTATGTTAAATTATCTTCGAAGTCAGCAGATGCTTTCATTATTTCATGTGTGTTTTCTTTGTGCACAATTAGAAAAAATACTTGATTATTTAGATGAAAGAAGTCTCTGAATTCAGCACTGGATCGTGACAGTTTTACCAAATGGTTCTCCATCGTGACCACTGTTCCACAGGTTTATGCTCTAGAGACTAAATAAATAAACAAACAAAACCAGGAAATAAAACCTGAGCTTGTACCTTAACCCTACAGCTCTGTCAGTAATTCTCCCTGATTTTTCTTTGGGTGGCATCTTCATTTTGGGCATTAGGTGTGACTCTACAGCTCAGTTTCACTTACTGATTAGACATAGGCTAAAATTCAAAAGAGCTACATCCATCCATCCATCATCTATACATCGCTTAATCCTCATTAGGGTCATGGGGGCTGGAGTCTATCTCAGCTGACTTAGGGTGAAGGCAGGGGACACCCTGGACAGGTCACCAGGGCTACACTTAGAGACAGACAACCAAGCACACTCACATTCACACCTACGGACAATTTAGAATCGCCAATTAACATCAACATGTTTTTGGACTGTGGGAGGAAGCAGGAGAACCCGGAGAGAACCCATGCTGCACGGGGAGAACATGCAAACCCCACGTAGAAAGATCCTGGATGTCTTCACCAGGACGCGAACCGGTTCTTGCTGTGAGGCAACAGTGCTAGCAACGGATCCACTTTGCAGGCCCAAAAGAGCTACATGATGCATGAAATTCAAACAGGCTTTTTTCAGAGCAGGTGCACACAGGTGACAAACTAAAGGAAAAACCAATATAAAGTGTCTTGAGCCACTGCAAACCTCAGGAACTCTACAGGAGGGATGAATTCCGTTCTTCTAAAAGATATTCTATTATTTGGTGTTTTGATGATGCTGGAGGAGAGCACTGTCTCACACACAAACCCAAAATCTCCAAAACGTTCAATCGGGTTGAGATCTGGTGACTCTGAAGACCAAAGCACGCGTCCAATGTTTGGAGGCAATTAGGTTCCCCACAGGAAACTCACGGTCAGCTTCATATTAGGGTGAAAGGTAATCACTCCAAACAACTGTGTATTGATTTATTCGCCAGAGAAGGAAAAGCAGAGGTGATACTGATAACAATAATGATGCCTCTTCTACTCATTAAGCCACATATTTCATCATATTGCAATAGTGAGAAACCTTCATTAACTCCCCCGCAATGCTGCATTCTATAATATTTTATTTTTTTGTGATTTGTTGCACTATAATTTTTGTTTTTTCTTTACCAAGTATATTAGGTCACTGACAAAAACTACCGCCATACCGTATCAGCTGTCAACAGCAGAGGGAGCCATCAGCCTTCATATTCTCGTCTAAAGGCCCAACTGGCCACTTTGTTATTGTCATACCCACCCATCTAATTTACTCACGAGGAATTCCATCAAGATGTTCTAATATAAACTCTCTGTCATTAGAGCTATATAATTACATGCCAACCATGTGACAGTGATGTGCCTCTCACTGAGAAAAGTAGATGCAACAGGCAAACCTCTGATTAACATCCAGACAGCAGGGTGATGGGCGGCACAGTGCTGCAGCGGTTAGCGCTGCACAGGGTTCAAACCTGCTGGTGGAGAGTGTTCTATCCAAAGCTATGCATGTTCGTTCAATTGGTGGTTCTAAAATGGCCGTGGGTGTGAGCGTGCAAGATAGCGTATCTCGTTGTGTTGACCCTGTGATGAACTGGGCTGGGGTGCACCCCATTGTCAGCATGTACAGGATCCAGACCTTCTACAAAGCGGGAACCGCTAATGGGCGGATGGATGGATGGTCAACAGGGTCACGAGTTATTGTGTCTGAGGATTGAAGTCCAATAGATCAGAAGTGAAGATGCTATTTAATTCATGGTGCTTTAGGTTAAGATAGTGACTGGCAGGCAGAAAAGACCAGGAGCTGATCCTCTGAAAATCTCCCTTTGCCCCAAGGCAATGAGTTCTAATAACCCCCCTATACTCCGTCACACTGTAATGCTCTTCTTAAGCTGCGGTGCACTTAGCCCAGCCAAGTACACGGCACCTTTTCAATAAAAATCAGCCATATGTTATGTCTACAGCTTGAAGGCATAAGTCAAACAACATGTTGTTGATTTTGTATGTCTTCTTCAGTTATGTAACTCTGGGTTGCAGAGCTGTTGTAAAAGAAGGGCAACATCTCTCCGCTGTGGGTCTTCAGAAGACGGCGAGAGGTCACAGACTAATTGTGTGGAAGATCTCACTGCAGAAACAAAACCGTGTTTTCACCAGACCCGTAGAAAGTCAAAGATAAAAGTGCTTGTTTTTACTTCTTTTCACTTGAAAACTGAACAAAATATGAAATTTGTCAGTGCTGCTGCCCACACTTTTATATACGACTCTGCCATCATTGTTATTATCCCTGCACATAAAGCAGCGGGGTTTGTGGAGCAGAAAACAATGAAGAGTTAAAGGCAATGTCAGCAAAACGAAAGTAGCACCAAAAATATCTCTCATCCCTTGAAAAATAAACAAAAGAAATACACTTTTTAATGTTTCATTGCTTCTGTAGAGAAGTGTGTGTTGATGCTTGGGAGTTTTTGGCACTTTAAAAGGCCTCATAAAGCTGAATCAACGGCAACTTCTGTTGAACTAAGAAACCTTTTTGGAGGGGTGCTCTGGAAAACAGAGCTACAATTTAGCAAGTCACCTTTAAACTGTATCACTGAAACATCAAGGCATTTGTTAATGATTTCAAAGCATGCTGTCATGGGAAGACGTGAGTGCATCTCGTGGAAATCTCGTTGACTTTTTAAACACATTTGAACAAGCAAACATTCGACTGTCGTCAAATGGCACATAAAATTGGCATTTTGTCGTCATTTTTAAGACTAAAATGTATATGTACAAATATATATATGAAAAAAAAACAGATCAGTCACAGAGAAGTAAATAAGTTTATCACACCTTCAAATCCATAAAATTAGAATCTGGGTTCCACATGAGGTGCCAATGATTAGAACCTCCTGAGGGAGTGACAGGTGGAGCCAGTCTTATTTAAACTTCTGAAATCTAAAGTCTGCTGTTCTCTTTGCTTATCAAATGTGTGGCGCCATCGTGCCAAGATCTAAAGAGCTCTCTAAGGCCTTCAGATAAAAGATTGTGGATGCCTGTGAGTCTGGCAAGTGATTTAAAAAAGATCTCCGAATCAGTTGAAATAGATAATTCCACTCTAAGGAAAATCAGCTACAACAGTTGTCCAGAACTGGCTGCCCTCAGTAAACCCAAGAGGAGACCATTTTCTGCAAAAGAGAAATTTCCATCCAAGAACCCCAAACCTTAATCGCAGGAACTGTTGGTGTCAAAATGCTGTGTCCACAATCAAACAGAGATCTCCAAAGATGTGACCTGCATTGAAGGCGTGCCAGGGAAAAGCCTTTGCTATCCAAACAGAACATCAGAACAAAACATTACAGTGTGCCAGTGGACATCCAGGCAAAGAGGAGGCTTTTTGTTTTTTGGAATTATGCGCCTAGGACAGTCCAATTGTAGATAGAGCTGTTTGGCCACACTAACAGTAGATATATTTGGCGCTGACAAATTGCAGCTTTTCAAGAGAAGAAGCTCATATCAGCTGTGAAACCTGGTGGTGGAAATGTTATGATTTGAGGTTGCTTTTGCTGCCCTGGGGGGACTGGGGCAGCTTGCAGTCAATGATTCAACTATGAATTCTGTATCACATTAAAAAGTGCTCAGAGATAATATGAGGCCATCTGTCTGGAAGTTGAAGCTGCACTGGAAGTGGATTTTTCAACAAGATAATGATCCTGAGCACACAGCAAACCCACCAAGGAATGGCTCAAACAGAACAAAATGGAGCTTTTGTGTTAGTTCAGACAGCCACAGAGTACGTCACAAGGATCTGTCCTGTCCAATCGTTCACTACTCAAGTCCAGCCCTCCCTCTTCGCTGCTTTATAACCGAGGAAGCGTTCATTCATTCATTCATTCATTCATTCATTCATTCATTCATTCATTCAGCCGCTCCACACTGCTACACTAACCTCTGCTGATCTGCAAATCTTCAATGCTGTTCATGTATTAATCAGAGATCTCTCATGCAGGTTCTAAAACTCAGTGTTTGGTGATTTGTTCTTACCTTCTAACCATGTTCGTGCCGATGAGTCTTCAATGTAGGATTGCAGTGTTAAAAATGTTTACATCCAATGAGCGTTTTGAGCAGCGATATGCAACCTCCTCCCCAACTTTTGATTTGCTTCGGCTACTTCAGTTCATAACTTCAATTCCACATCAGAAAATGGTGGGCATCCCAGCTCCGCCCATCTCATCGGTCCACCAGCTCTAGACCTCCAGGAATAGCTGAGATCCAACCACCTTCATCCTGCTCCAGCTCCGGAAGTCCTCTCACCCAACGTCCCCTCGTGTCTCCCCCAGGCTTCCACCAGTCTCTCCTCTACACACCACAAACTATATTTCAAGGCTTAAAAATCTGCACCTGTTACCCAACTTCCGGGTTCAAGTCCGCTGTCTCCGCCCACCAGTGACGTCATAGCAGATGACTCCAGCAGCTCCAGCGCCCCCTGCTGGTGTGGCCCTTTTCCTCCACCCTCACCTTTGGCAGGTAATGATACTAGTCTAGTTAAATTCTGTGTAGTTCCTCTGAATCAGGCTGGGGATTGATCATTGTGTTGAAGTATCAGTTATCCTCATGATCATGATTCAAGGCCATCATAGGATATTACCATGGCTGTGTCTGAAATCACCCACTATACCCTATATAGGCCATTTTGCAGTGCTGTCCAAATGTTAAGTTGCAAATGTTACACCCTGTAGTGCACTCAAAATATCCCACAATGTACTGTGAAAAGTAGTTTACAGCAGATGCTCAGTAACCAAGCAATATGGAACATGAAAGGAAATGCAAACTAGACTAACAAGAGTGTGAAAACTTGTCATTAAAGTGTAAGAAATTCTCCATTTAT